AGGTCCCGATCCTGAACAAAAGGTGTCATGATACCAACTTCCAGGTCGTAGCCAGGTATGGGGGAGGTGCGCCGGCTTGTTGGGGCGCGTTCCTGCCCTCCTGGATTCGCTACTTCGGCCCGCCAGACATGATGCCATGCGACGGGGGGCCGGAGTTCCTGGCTGAGTTCGAGCGAGGTGCAGAGCGAGTTGGGCTCCGGGAGCAACTTCGAAGGTCCAGTGAAGCCATGCCCGCAACTCAAGGGGGGTCTCAACGCTGGGCTCCACGCCGCAACCACAACTGCAGCCTAACCTGTCTAGGGCCCCCCCCGAGTGCGGGGGCTCGAGAACGGCCTCCCGGGGCTACCTGGCCAGTCGGCCATGGGCCCCCGGACTCCTCTCAGGGTTTCCCGCCCGGGGCCGCGCCCCCCATTCGTTCGTGTGCGGCCAGCCCGGGGAGCCCTGTCGCAGGGTCCTCTGGGCCCCTGAAGGGCCCCTCATTACGCCCTCCGCGCGGGGGTTTCAAACCTCTGCGGCATGGGGCCCGCATTCGGGGCTTTGCGCGCGCATCTGACCTCCAACCAAGAATTGCCCGCGCCCCCGCGCTGGGCGGGGCGCCCGGTGTGGGCGCCAGGGGCCCGGCTGTCCTGACTGTTGGGGCTGGCCGGGCAACTCTTAGTCTGGTTCGCGCGGGAAGGAGCGCAAAGTGAAACGCGCGTTGCAAGCGCTTGGATCCCTGCGTCGCCAGGCCAAGAACATGTCGTTGCATCTGTAGATATTCTCCTAAACCATGCCCTCGCAAACTCTCAGAATGGGATACTTGGGGTCATTTTCGGCCATCGGCTGCACTGCCCGACTGGCAACCCCCAGCTGTTTCTGAGATGCTGAGCAGGAAAGGCAAATCATGAGCAATTCCCAGGGATAAGCACAGAGCAGGCAGATAACGCGAATTGCTATGCACATGCTTCGACAAACTCATCGCTGACTGAAGCGTTGCAGCAGCGGCATGCGGCTTCAGCAATGTGCGTGACGACAGCTGCGCGCGGGGCTGGTGGCAGGCTGATCCAGTCGAATCAGCGGGTCGGGGGCTGCTCTGAATTCGTTGCGCAGTGGTCCTTGGTTCCCGACCTATAAGGCTTGCGCGAGGTGGCAGCGTAGCGCATTGAGAGTTGATCCGGTCGAATCATCGGGCCGGGGGCTACCGCGAACTTGTTGCGCAGTGGTCCGTAGTCCTCGACCCTTAAGGCGAAGCGGCGGCGCGCAGTGCGCAGGATGCACATGCTGGCCACTAGTGCGGCAGCGCGGCGGTTGCTGCAGAGAGCTGTTCAGCTTTTTGGGACATGGCCGCTCTTTGTCGAGACGACAGGCTGAGTGCTGCATGCGAACTCGGTGAGTCCGTAGCTGTCTGCCTTCGTACCCCGAACTCCTCTCCCGAGCGTCGGAATAGGGGTTGGGATCCCCGGGCCCCAGTCAACCTACCGCATGTTTATTAGCGCTCAGCCTTGAGCCATGGCAGGCTCCAGTCGTGCACGAGCTGGCCGAATTAAGCCTCTTGTCGCCCCGACCCCCACTCCGACGGGAAACTCGTCGGACCCCAGCAGGGATCGTCAGAGGCTGCCCCACGCGTCCCCGACCACATCGAGACCCCAAGGAAGAGGAAGAGGAGGAACAGGACGAAAAAGGAGGAGGAGGTGGATTAGGAGGTGGAGGAGGACAAGAAGGAAGAGGAGGAGGAGGAGGAGGAGGAGGAAGAGGAGGAGGAGGAGGAGGAGGAGGAGGAGGAGGAGGATTTAGCAGATGGAGGAAGAAAACCATCGGTTATGCGTAATTAAGAGTGCACCTTTGATTTGGTGACTTTTGTTGCGGGCCCACACGGGTCCGCCCAGCATTTGCTCGCGCGCAAGGAGTGAGGCTCCCCGCGGCCCCTCATAAGCCCCGCGCCAAAGGCAGCTCTTGCTTTGGGGAGCTCTTGCCATTAGCTGGGAGGGGGGGGAATCGGCAGGAACAGCAGCAACAGTATGAGGAGGACCCACAAGTCCGATGTTTAGGCGTTTGTTGACACGCCCCCCTTCCCGTGAGTCCCCACCCGTCCCCACAGGCTGGTTCCTCGGCCAGGTCGTTTCTCGATGGTCTTGGAGCCTGGCGGGGGCCCGCGGCCGGCCGCAGAGGGGAAACAGACCTCGGCCTTGTTGTCCAATGACGACGGAGCGACAACGACGACGATGCGACGATGACGACGACGACACGACCACGACGTCGACGACGAAGCGACGAAGCGGCGACGACGACGACGACGCGACGATGCCGACGATGACGGCGACATCGCGACGACGACGACGACGACGCGACGAATGCGACGACGACGACGACGACGCGACGATGACGCGACGACGACGTCGTCGGGACGACAACGATGACTACGAAGCAACGACGACGACACGCTGACGACGACGTTGACGATGACGACGACACCCCGACGACGACGACGACGATGTGACGACGCGACGACGACGACGACGACGACGACGACGACGACGACGACGACGACGACGGCGACAACGACGAATCGACGAAGCGACGACGACGACGACGACCACAACACGACGACGAGTATCGCGACGACGAGACGACGAGTACGACTCGACGGCGAAGCGATGACGACGACACGACGACGACGACGCCACGACGTCGACGACGACGACACGACGATGACACGATCACGACGCCGACGACGACCGGACCATGATAACGACGTCGACGACGACGTCGCGACGAGGACGACGAGGACGACGGCGACGAGGACGACGAGGACGACGGCGACGACGACGACGTCGACGATGACGACGACGACACGACGAAGACGCAAAGACGACGGCGAGGACGACGACGAGGCCACGACGTCGACGATGATACGACGACGACACGACGAAGAGACGGATATGCCGTGACGAAGACAACGGAGCGACGACGAGGACGACGACACGACGACGAAACGGCGACGAGGACGACGACACGACGACGAAGCGATGACGACGACGACCCGACGACTCGTCGACGACGCGTCGAGTACGCCGCCGCCGACGACGACGACGCGACGACGACGACGACGACGACGACTCGACGACGATGGCGACGAGCACGACGTCACGCCAACGAAGACGACGAAGACGTCGCGACGTTGACGACGACGAGACGACGACAACGACGAATCTACGAATCGAACGAGGCAACGACGACAAAGCTACGAATTGACGACGACGCGACGATGACGACGACGACGAAACGACAGACGACGACATTCCGACGACGACGACGCGGCGACGATGACGAAGCGACGACCACGACGACGACGACAACGACGTCGACACGACGACGGCGACGTGACGACGACGACGATTTAGGAAGGAACGCGTTCTGTAGTCGCGTGGAGGGGGTGGGAGTTTGGAACCGGACGCCGCCCCCCCTTGGATTGGGGGGGGGTCGAACCTCTCCCTTTTCCCGTGACGGAAGGAGGGGGGGTACCCCCCCCTCCCCTCCCCGTCCTCCCCCACTTGTCTTCTCTCCGTCTCCTCGGGCCGGCGCCTGCGTCGGCGGCGGCTGGCGGCGGCGGTGGGGACGACTTTCTGTTCTGGGCCGGCGCCGGCGCCTGCGGCGGCGGGCGGCGGCGGCGGGGAACGTCGATCAGGACGATGGCGACGACGATGACGGCGACGACGACGCTCCGCCACCGTGCCTTGGTTTTGGGTCAGAGTCCTCTGAAGGGCATTTGTGCTGGCTCATGGGCGCCTGTTGGGCGTCTCTTGGGGCCTCTCTGAGGTGGTGGTGGTGGTTGTTTGATGGTGGTGTGTTGGTGGTTTGTGGTGGGTTGTGGTGGTGGTGGTGGTTTGGTGGTGCTGTGGTGGTGGTTTGTAATGGTGGTGGTGGGTTGTGGGGGTGGCGGTGGTTTGTGGAGGTGGTGCTGCTGGTGGTGATGGTGGTGGCGGTGGTGGTGGTGTGGTGTGGTGGTTTGTGCTGGTGGTGGTGGTTGGATGTGCTGCAGGTAGTGGTGGTGGTTGTGGCGGTGGTGGTGGTGTGGTAGATTGTGGTGGTGGTGGTGGTGGTAGTGGTGGTGGAATTTTGTGGTGGGGTGGTGGTGGTGGTGGTAAGTTGTGGTGGCGATGGTTGTGGTTGTGGTGGTGGTTGTGGTGGTGGTGGTGGTTGTGTTGTGGGTTGGTGGTGGTGGTGGTGGGTTGAGGTGGTGGTGGTGGTGGTGGTAGTGGTGGTGGTGGTGGTGGTGGTAGTGGTGGTAGTGGTGGCAATCGTCGCTGCGTCCCCGCCGTCGGCGCTGCTGGCCGCCGCCAGCGCCGTCGCCGGCGCGGGGGGGGGGGGTTGGACCCCCCCCTCCCTTGTGGCTGCCTCCGATCATCGTCGCTGCGTCCCCGCCGTCGGCGCTGGTGGCGGCCGCCAGCGCTGGCGCGGGGGGTTTGAACCCCCGCCCCCCTTGGGAGGGCGGGGGGGGGATTCGGGAGGGCCCTGGTTCTGATCGACGGCGCCGAGTGTTGGGGGGGCCAGCCCCCGGTTCGAAACGCGCCGCCGAATGTTCCCAAGGCAAGCGCCGGTGAAACGCGCTCTGTACGACTCAGCGAAGTGGACACTAACGACGTCGAAACGACGACGTGACGATGACGACGGCGACGAAGCGACGTCGACGATAACGATGACGACGACGCGAGGACGACCACGACACGACGACGACGATGCGAGGACGACGACGACGCGACGACGCGGCGTTGACGACGACAACGACGATGACGACGAGGACGACGACCACGACAACTCCACGACAAGTCCACGACGACGACGACGACGTCGCGACGACGGCGGCGACGACGACGACGACGACGACCACGGCGGCGGCGACGGCGGCGTCGACGACGACGACAACGGCGACGGCGACGACGACGACGACGATGACGAATCGACGAAGCGACGGCGTTGTGCCCCGGGGCAGCCCCCGAACGGGTCGCCGCCGCCGGCCGCAGGGTGGTCCTCTATGGGCAGTGGCCCCGAGGAGCGGACGCGCGGCCGCCCCTCGGCGCCAGCGGGGGGGGGGGGGGCGGCGAGCCTTCCACCTCTTTGCCTTCTCCCTGCGCCGTTCCCCCCCCCTCCCGCCTTCCTTCTCCCCTCCTCCCCTTCCCTCCCCACCTCTCCGCCCCGGCTTCTCTTCTTTGCCCCTCGCCCCCCCCATCCCTTTCCTTTCTGCTTCTCGCCCGTTTTCTCCTCCCTCCGCCCTGCCTCCTGCTCCCCTTCCCCCCTCCCACCTCCCTCCTCCCTCTTTTTTTTTCCACCTCCTCAAGTTCGGCTTATGATCATGTTGGTTTCTGCTTCTCGCTCGTTTCTCCTCCTCCCTGCCTCCTGCTCCTCCTCCCTCCTCCCACCTCCCTCCTCCTTTTTTTCCACCTCCTCCATTTCGGCTCACGATCGTGTTGGGCTTCCTGCAGCCGGGCCTTGCCGCGCGCGCGGATGGTCCGTCGCGGTCATTGGCGGAGGTGGCCAAGAGTGGAGCTCGCGGCTCCCCCTCTCGCACACAGACACAATTATTCGTCGATTCCCGAGGAAAATAGGGGAAAATATGGGAAGTGGTGGGGAAGACAGAAACCCAGAAAATATGGGAAAATATGGGGACTACTTCCCTACCTAGGCTCTGCCTAGAAGGGTTCTAACTCTCTAGCTTAAAGGGGCCGGGCAGTGGAAAGCGCCCCGGGCGGTTCCCCCAGTCCCCGCCCCGCGGTTCCCCCAGTCGCGCCCCCTGGGTTCACCCAGCTTAGCTTAGCTGAGCTAAGCTAAGCTTAGCTAAGCTCATCTTAGCTTAGCTTAGCTTCGCTTCGCTTTGTCTAGCCTAGCTTAGCTTAGCTTACCTGAGCTTAGCTTAGCTTATTTCATCTTAACTTACCTTATCTTAGCTTAGCTTAGCTTAGCTTAGCTTGGCTTAGCTTAGCTTAGCTTGGCTTAGCTTATCATAGCTTAGCTTAGCTTAGCTTAGCTTCGCTTAGCCTAGCCTAGCCTAGCCTAGCTCAGCTTAGCTTAGCTTAGCATAGCTTAGCCTACCTTAGCTTAGCTTAGCGCAGCGCAGCATAGCGCAGCGCAGCATTCGCACAGCACAGCACAGCATAGCCAAGCATAGCATAGCATATATCAGCATAGCGAATGCATACCATACCATAACATAGCATAGCATAGCATAGCTGTGTGCCTGTGCGCATGCAAAGCAACACCAAAAGCACGCAACAGCAAACACAAACGCAACGCAACATCAACAGCAACAACAACAGCAAAGGCAAAGGCAAAGGCAAAGGCAAGAGCAAACGCAAAGGCAATGCAAAGCAAACACACAACCACTGCGAACTTGTAGATGTAGATGTAGATGTAGGTGTAGATGTGGATGTAGGTGTAGATGTAGATGTAGATGTAGATGCAAGTGTAGATGTAGGTGTATATGTAGATGCAGATGTGAGTCTCGCTGTTGATGTTGATGTAGATGTAGATGCAGGTGTAGAGGTACATGTAGCTGTCGGTGTAGATGCAGATGTTGCTTTCCTAAATGCTCCAACTCCTAGGTAGGGTCGCACTGGGATAATTATATCTGTGTGTATTTATTGGTGTGTCCCAGGGCCCCTTCAGTTTTTTCTGATGAGGGAATGCGACAGTTGCCGAAACTACTTGGCAGTGGAAGCGATGTGACACATGCAGTTTTGATGAAGTGCATGATTGGAATGAACATTACAGGTCATTGCCGTGGGAGGTCGTTCCAGGAAACTTGAGGAGACCTTCGAGAAGGTGGATTGCAAGGCAGAGGACGCAGTGGAGGCGGCTAGACGTGTTGAGAAGACGGCGGCGTATGCGATGAGAATCGCAGTCGGCGGCGGCGGGTTCTCGTCCAGCAGGTGTGGCACTGACAGCAGCTACTGCGCCGCGCGGGGCTGGGTTCACGGCTCTAAATCTCGTTTTTGGTGGTATTTCACATGCGCCGCAGGGACAGGATGCTCTAAATATTGTTGTTGGTGGTGTCCCAAGTGCGTGCGAGAAGGATAAGTTTATGCCGTACTTGGGCGAGATCGCATCGATGGTTGGACCATATTGTATTTCAGGAGATGTTGCGCTTAACCGGGCATCCGCGCGGCTGTATCCTGCAGCCTTCTACATGCGTGATGATCGTGCAGTCTTGGCTTCGTCTGGGAAGCCATCGTGAGTGCAAGGAGAAAGAGAGAGACAGAGAAAGAGAGAGAGAGAGAGAGAAACAGAGAGAGAGAGAGAGAGAGGGAGAGAGGGAGAGAGGGAGAGAGAGAGAGAGAGAGCGAGAAACAATTTCCGTAGGTTCAGATTGTGGACGTGCGCTCTGTGTTCTTGCTGTTGGCTCAGACGATGCGCCACCTCCTGGACAGACGTTGTGGATGGAGAAGCGCCAGACCATGGCGCGGCGCCAGGCCATAGGGTGGTCCAGACCTAGACGACGTGGTACGCAATCTTAGGGAACATTGTAACAAGGCCATTCCTTTGCTGAGTGCCATCGCTCTCAATTGCTGGGGGGGCTGCTGTTGGGGATTTCGATATTCGTCTCGCATTCGCTTCTGGTGAATGTGAAGGGACATTCTTCTGTTGCAGGAGGTGTTCGGATTTCCTCTAATTTGCCAGTCAGGTCGCAGGGGCATTTTGTCGTGGCCTTGCTTGGATCAGTGTTTCTTCGTGGTTGCGCAACCGCTCCCCGTCGGCGGTGCATCCTCTGTATCTCCGACCTCTTCCTCCTCCTCGCGGCCATCTAAATCTTCCCTGCTCGTCTCCACCTATTTCCCGCAGTCCAGCTAAGAGAGTTTCGAGTGTGCTGCTACAGCAACTCTTCTTCCTCAGACAGCACGTGCCTGGCGGCGCTGTGGTTCTTGGCATCGATTTCAATGCCGCGCTGGGCCCCAGAGAGTCTCTTGCGGAAGCTGACCAGCTTGGCGACTCTTCTCGCGGCGCTCGAGCGCGGCGTGGCGAATTCTTTTCATTCTGGTTGTGCAATTTGGATTAGACTTGCCCGCGCGCGCGCGCGCTGCCCGCGCTGGCGGCCTCTGGGCCGGAAAACAGCGGGGGTGCGGGCTCCTCGTCGTTTGACGGCTACGTGAAGACGGCTTCACAGCGGGTTCGAGTTCGACGGGCGCGCGTTCTGTACGCTGCTGCGACGGCCGCTGGTCATCGGATGGTTATCCTGCAGCGCGATTGCCGGCATGGGCAGACCTGGCGGGGTCAGAACCCACTGGTTGGAAAGTTCAGCGCCCCGGGTCGTTTGAGCGCCAAGCGGCGCGGGCAGGTCAACCTGACTTGGCGTTCGGAGATCCCCCGGCTATCGTTTGCGAAACTGCTGCTGTTTGTGGACGTGGCATGGTCGCTCGAGCTGCCCCCGCAGCCATTTTGGCTCAAGTTCGAAACCTTGCCGCGAGGCTTCGAGCTTGTCCGCAGCCGTGCGGCAGGCTTGAGAGTTTTTCGGCGTGTGGACTCTTTTGTTGTGCTCTCACGATCCCTGCTTGAGCTCCAGGCCTGGCAGGATACGTTTCCCGACCGCCTCATTGAGGCAAGACTACTAGCCCGCGAGGGCGCTCCCCTTGTCACCTGAGCGGCCGCATGGCCCCGTCTCATGGCGGCGACGATTCTGGAGATGTACTTCCAGGGCCTCGCCACCCCACCTGGTCATGCACTGCGTGTGGAAGGAACGCGAACTGGGCTTCCAGGATCGTGCGCAGGTGCGGCGTTGGTGCTCCTGCTGGAGTTCTGCGTCGTGCTAAGGAGCATGCTTCAGCTGCTCCTGTGGGTCGCCTGCCTGCCCAAGGTCCTCCTCGTCGTGTTCGGGGCCCTGGGCGCGACCCTTTGCAGCATAAGCTTGTGGAGCTACAGAAGAAGATTGACAAACTTGTGGCGCCTCCTGGTCAGCGTGGTCAAGCTGATTCAGTTGCGCCGCCTTCGTCAACCTCCGATGACACGGATAAGGGCAAAGTCAAGGAGAAGGACAATGAGAGCAGAGAGATGGATGAGCTTCGGGGCAAGATCAACGAGTTGGAGATTTCTGTGGCCAACTGCAAGAAAAGCCCTGGCGAAGCTGGCAAGGAGGCTCTGGAATCGCTGCAGCGCAGTTTGGCGGATGCACGCAAGGCACAGGCTGAGAAAAAACCACAACTTACGAGACGCGACGCAGTTGGGCATAGGTTGGCGCGAACTTCAGCTAAACAGACTCAACTCGAACAGCTGATGATCGATCAAGAACAAACCACCCAACGTGCTCAAGAGAATATTGAATCTTCGAGGGCACAGATTACGGCTACTGTGGAAGATATGCGTGTCCTCAACCAAGAACTTCAAGATGCTATGTCTAACCCAGTGGCGGCATCTGTCGATTTGGATCCAGATTCCTTCGCAGCACACCCTGACAAATATGCTATCGTGAACTTCGTGGAGTTAATGCAGTTCAAAGATTTCGCTTCAGTTCTCACCGAGAGTAGCAAGGCCAAACAGCAGAAGGCAACGCCCGTGGTCAGGTCACCGTTCGAACCTGGTGGCCATGGGTTTCAGCGTGATGGTGGCGCAGACTCTTCTCCTCAGGGCGACCGTGAGCTCGACGGGACCTTCGACATTGATGTTGACCTCGTGGACGAGACCATGGTGCCCAGCATTCGGCTGGACCGTGAGGCCCCCCCCCCCTGTCTAAGTACATGCCTGTGCTGCGAAGAATCGGCGAAGGTCGACCACGAGGGTGGCATCTTACTTCGTTTTCGCGGCCTTTCCTGTCCTGTCCTGTCCTGCGCCGCCTTCACCTCTCCCTTCTCCGTCGCCTGGCTCCACCGCTGCGCAGATTTTGAGCCAGGGCATTTGCGTGGAATCATATAACGGTAACTCGTGGACGACTCTCCGAGAGCGTTTGTGTCGCGCGTCTTCGAGCATCCTGTTGGCGCAGGAGATCGGGTTCATGCAGGGGCGGGGGGGGGGGTCAGCGGCGGGGGCCCTTCGGGCGGAAAGTGCTTGCTCCCCCCTCCCTCCCTGGTG